AATATTTCACTCGTGTAATGGATTGAAGTGAGCTTCAAACTTTTCACATTCAGCAAGTTTTCGAACAAATTTATCTCTAGAGGAGCGAGCGCAAATACATCAAACTTGAAGCAATTTCAGACACTTGTTTCCCAAAAACGTTCATAAGTCGCTTAAATTAACAAGATTCAGTATTATTCAATTGTTGCATTGCTGAATACTATCATATATGCGTCCTGGCAGTCCATTTTCATTTTCATCTTCCTTATAGGAAGAGGATGAACAGAGAAAGTAGATTATAACTAAGCCTTCGAAACCACACTTTGCACGAAGCACGAATTGCCTTCTTAGAATTTATTGGAGGAAGAGATGCATAGGAAAGGGAAATATTTTCTTTTTATGCATATCCTCCTCCGTCGGCTAAGGTTAATCTATAGGTAGCGGTAGCATCGCTATTTCGGCGAGTTCAGTTGGCCGCTTGCTCGTTTGCCACCTTGTGATATACCTATTAAAAAAAACCTGTACAGTTTTGTTATACATACGCTAGGTTATTCATGAAAGGTAAAAACCGTCGTGCAAAACCTAACGTGTGTGCACTGCATAATACCACGCATTTAACAACGAAAGGTAGATTTAATACAACATTCATATAGGTACAAAGTTTCTCTAAGATAGCGTTAACTATTTAAACTATTCTTTGAGAGTATACGAGATCGTTTAAGATCGTTCACTCCTATATTACGTGCCAAAGGAAGGGTTGACTGCAGCCGTAAAACTTCAAGACAATAAAGTTGGCTGAAGAAATGAAGTTGAGATAGTTGATCCCTAGGTGTCGCGGTTGCGCGTTGTCTTAATGGCGAAGTTTTGATATACCGTGGTACTTCGAACTAGAGTCATAGCTTCTCATGATGCATTTAATTTGCAGTATAACGAATGCTTTAAATATGAATGTGGATATATTGTAAGGAGAAGATTTAATAAAACAAAAACGCTTGAAATGTAACATAATTAAAAAGTGAATATTCTTAATTATCACCTTTCAAGTGATCCATTCATCGATTCTTAGATCGAATAGATTGATTCATTTGGAAGAAGGGCAATGATGATACAGTATAAATAATTGTAAATTTCATTATTATCAGTTGAATGATTAGCTTTCACATCTTTACCAAAACAAAATTTTAGTGACAATTGCAAATCAATTGTTTTAAAGAGAGTGAAAGCGCAAGAGAAAGAATGAAAATAAAAATGGTAATTTCTAGATAGATTTTAACTGTAGTGAATAATTTCTAAGATTTCTATTAGTTTCAATAAATTGCTTATTCCATGTTCCGACATTTTTATTACTTTCATTATATTCTTGTAATGTATAGTAGGTACTATTTGTGAGTTGCTATTCTATTTGCCAACTTCGAGCAATAGAAAAGTTCCTCGGTTCGCAAAGTCTATTGTTGACCTAAAAACCTAAAACAGATCATGTAGAGGTTTATATAACTGGGACACAAAAGATACGAATATGAATCAATAGAATTCATACCCTTTTATTCTATACACGAAGTGGTAAATAAATTTATTAAAAAAGCCAAAAACATGACTGAGGCTCTAATAAATTATTTAGCGCCATCTATTGTTTGCGTTTTAAAAGTCTAAAATTGTTTAATTAAAACGAAATAAATTGTAATTTTACAAGTAACACTCTCTTATTTTAGAATATACTTGAAAACATCGAAAAGATTTAACAATGAAAAAGTTATGGTGAGTAAAATGTGAACACGGTATTTTTACTGTTTGTGCTAATTTGCGAGCTGATTCACTGATCTGCTTCTCACATGTGAACCGTGAGCTGATTTACAGGTCATCAATTTTAGTAGATTTACACATTGACAGCTGCACAAATAATAAGACGGTTGTAACCTTTAAATAACAGTAGAGACGATGCACAGAAATAGGACATTCCTTATTCTACTATACAATATGATTTAAAATTACTAATATTAGACATTATTTACAAGCATACGTAGGTTACAAATAAATCTAGACATGCAATAGCTAAGTCTGATTATCGAGTCCCACAAGCAAATTGCGGCCGGTCTCTAAATTACGACCAGTATAAATTGACTTCTGCCGGTATATACGATTTCTCCCTCGATATCAAAGTGTCAATGATCTTTAGGGAGAGCGGCGGACCAGAGGTAAATTGGTCGTTGTCTGATTTATCGATTCGTTGGATCAAGTTCTGTTAGGAATAAAGCTAAGATGTTAACTCTAGCCGTGTAAGACTTAATATTTACCGATAATTTTATAAACATCACGCACGTTTATAAGTTCAAATACACATTTTTTTTATTTGTATGGCTTAAACTCAAATACTGTAGTAGTGTATTTAATGAAAGACATTATGATAAGGAAAAACAAACTTTTTTATACTTAAGTACATTTTTTAAAATACTCCAGGCTTCAAAGAAAATATTTTATTTCGTTTGTCACATGCTTCTTTATTGGATTGACTTATTTATTAATAAGTAACTGCAAATAATAAAAAAGTAGTAAAATCCGCGGCTCAATACACTAACGTTTTTTGGTTATCTACAGCTATTCCCAATCAATCACGGATGGCCCAGTTTTTTCGTACGTATTATTCCCGAAGGACAGGATTTGCAGGTGATGTCCCTAGATGGACTATATCCAAAAAAAAACCAATTCGACCAATATATAGATCCAGTTTTACGTATTGTTAGCACGCTCGTATTCAACCACACGGCTCTTCCTATTTTTAAACTTTTTTACCATGTTTTTAAAACTCGCTTGCATGTTTTCTAAACAATTCTTTTTTTAAAAATGATTACTACATTTAAAGGTTGATTAGGAATACAAATAAATAAGGAGATTAAAGTACTTTTAGAGTAAATTATATCGAAAAATCGTTTAATTCAGATTCGGAAACAATTAGTAACGATAAATTCTTCTTTTATGCGTAAACCATTAAAGGGTTTTATCAAAGCGGTTAAAAGCCATTCAGCCAGTAACTGCGAAGAAATAGAATGAAACAATTGAAAAAGTAAGACATTTCACTCCCGTGGTCAGTCAGTAATGACGTCATAGCTAATTGTATCAAACCAAGATGGCGCCGTAGGTTACTTAAAAAGAGTTACTAAAAGATTTTATTGATGTTTTTTTAAGATTTGCCTTTTCTAATATGTTGAACCATTCGACCAGATGAAGATTAAACAAAATAATGAATGGATAAAAAGATTAATTATAACTACAAAAACTTAATACTCGTTAAGAATTACGCTCTAAAGTTTTAATTCATATTATAATCAGATATCCGAGACATATTCCTTTTCTTTTTCAAACTTAACATATTATTTTAAACGGTGATTTTGTTCTCACGAACCCACGGTTGATCACGCTATTTATATCACGTTAAGATGTATTGACGTGTTAATATTTCAAACAAAACGGGTATAGCTAAAAATAATTCCACTTCATTATTCTCAACACCTTCAATTGATTGAGTCCTCATTACATATTAAGCCCTTCTAAGTCAGCGGACACGAAATGAAAATTCATTTCGTTACGCCAACGTTCTACCTATATAAATAACTACTTCAATTAGTATAAAGTCAAGTAAAATAACTTGTTTTCTTGTTATTTTGAAGATTATATATTAAGTGATGAAGAGACATTTTTATCTTAAATTACAGAGGCTGTTAAGTGGGTTATTACACGAACTTAAGAATAGGTCTCAAATATACAGTAAGTAGGAAAATCAAATTTATTAGGATGCCTCATACTTTTTAAACTTTGTAAACACTGTCTACCACATCGGAAAGGGGGCGTTTTACAATTTTTATTTAATTTTTAATTTTTTTTCAAAAAAAAAAAAATTTTTTTTTAAATTTTAATTCAAAATGCCGAAAATTAACATTAAACGTTAATTAACATTTCGAAATGTTTAATATCGAATAATAAAAATGTTTAACGGCGTTGCATCATTAAAACATTGGTTTTTAATTAAGTGTTCCCGTTAAAACCAAAGTGTCCAATTTTGTTTTATTTTAAGTGTCGTTAAGGGTCAACATTGTAATTTTATACGACATATATATTTAAAACATTTAATATTCTGCGAAATCTGATCATTTTATTTCGTTATCAATCATATTTATTTCATAAAATAGAAATCGTAAACTATAAAAAAGATTTTTGTATCTTTGCTTTTACTAGAATAGCCAAGGTAAATTGAGCGATGCGAAACATATTCGTAAAACTTTTGTAGGTAGATAGATGCCTAATAACTTTTAACGTAAAAAGAGTTAGATTACTCTGACAACAAAAACCTTTTATCGGCGCTCATCCAACGCTTTTCATGCGGAAGAAATGGTTCCGAACGGATAGGACTAAGTGATTTCGTGAATCGAGTTTGACTGGCGCCATTCATCCAAATATACGGGAGTTGAGTTTACGACAAACTACAAACACGACTAACTAATAGGATCCGGTGAACGACGCACGATCGACTCGAATTCGACTCTCGACGCCCGCCGACTGTTCCCCTAAGCCCAAATAAAATGTCGTCATCAACTCCCTCTTTCCTCACCCCTCAACCCCCGGCCATGCCCTCAGGGCGACGTAGGATGTACAGTCGGATGTTCTAATCAAATTAAAATTCTAACGCTAAAATAATCAGAGATTATAATTTATCATCAAAATACTTACCATCTTGTTGGAGGCGATTTGGAATGTGATATGATTGTTAAACAATAAACTTTTATCAAATTAGTTATTATTATAGAAACATTAAAAGGGTAACGACTTCTGTTATATTTAATTAAAAAAGACAATGCTATTAAGCATCGTGTCGAATCTCAACTCGCAAACATGAAGAATATTTATTTTGCCGCCACCTTTTATAATGCAGACGCATGCGCGATCTCAAAACGACCCGCAGTAAAACGACTGGTCACGTGACTCGACGCGGCATTCGCTCGGCGCATTTCGGCAGTTGTCGGTGGACCGCTCCAGCGAGAGTGTGTCCGTACGAGTTACGTCGGAAATCACATAAATGTCAAATTAAACGATTTCGTCAAAAAAACATGACATGTGCTTCGCGCCGACGTAAACATACGTTGTTAAATTGCATTATGTCATTCGGTAGTGCGTATATTTCGTATTAACCCAGTTTAGTGTTTGATTTTTGTGTAGCAAATTTTATAGTAGCTGCTCATGTTAGTGTTTTCTGTTTTGGAGCCTCGCTGGAACGTTTGAGATGTTGCGATTTATATCCGTCTGTAGCGTTAGGAATGTATTTTAGAAGTGATGTGATATTGCTGAGGTTTTTTTAAGTGTTTACAAGATGGACAGAGTAAGTGGCGTGTGTAGGTTTGGGGGAGTTGTGTCCGCGGTGAGAACTCGTACGGGACGAAGTAGACGACGTCTTACTGGACCAGTTCAGACGAATGAAGAAATGCCAGAAGCTCCACGGCGCGGGCTCGGCGCGATCCTCGTGTTGGCCTGTATTCTGGTCTATCACAACAGCCTGTATTGTGGCTTCGTCTTCGATGACATCAGTGCCATAAAAGAGAACAGAGATCTGCGACCACAGACACCAATCTCAAACATCTTCCTAAATGATTTCTGGGGAACCCCTATTCATAAGGTAAATAACCAAAATTTTACTCAAAGTAACAAATTCCAATACCAAACTATTAATGTTAGATAATAGTCAATTATTTAGAGATGTCTAAATAATCTGATAACGTAGGTCAACAAATGATGGTTCACCAATTTTTTTGATTTACAAAAACGTAGAATAAAAACAATTTCTTTTTAATTTCTATATTAATGTGTTATTGTTAAGAAAGACATGACGTTATATTTTACAAAAAAATGGTGATCAAATATACAGAAACAAGATTCTTTACCAAATTTAATTAAATTAGACATATCACTAACAAAAATAAAGACATTTTCTGTAACCGTTATTAAATTTGAATTGCAATCTTGGACTTTTTCCTGCAAATTCCTAGTAAATTATGATATTTAAGACTTATGTCTAATTTATAGCCAATCGCCATTCTCGTAAAAACGAGCAATTTTGCGTAGGGAATATTAATTTATAACCAAATTCAAAAAGATATCTATTACGACATTTATAATTTTTAACGTTATTGAGCTTTATAATTGGGTACCTATTTTAATATAATAGAAAAAAATCTTGCAAATTTCTTCTACCTATCGCTTTTATAACGATATCGCCTTTAGACAAAACTACCTATTTAAATAAGATTTTTTTTAAAATTTTATTATACAAAAACTTTACATACCAAATTAAATTACGGTTAGACAGCTGTACTAAAACCTACAGGGTTTTAGGTGTACTTACTGGTCGCTTATTGATTTATAAGATCAACAAATTAACAAATACAGACCTTATTAACCATTTCACAATTGTATTAAACAAAAAGAACAGAGATTAAACGGTTTTTTTCAGACCATAATAGAAAGACAAAAAAGCGAGAATTAAATTTAACATATAAACGGATTCATATTTCATTAATCCATTGTCTTATTTATCGTCCCAAATAGTTTGTAGCGACACGAATTAGAGATTAAAATATTATAGAAATACCAAGGGGACGGGAGACGGTCTCTTGTGGCTTTTAAGGGGAGACATCTGTGTTTAGTTCATGTTAGTGACAATTCAAATTATAACTGGAAAGTAATCATTTTAATCAGTTTTGTTACTGTAATATTGGGGAAGGTTAATCTATACATGTAAATAAAATTGGAGTGTTTGTTTAATAAAGTGTAAAATAGCATTTTTTACAATTTTTGTCTGTCTGTTTATTCCGGTTAATCTCTGAAATGGTTGGACCGATTTTGACGGGACTTTACTTTGGTAGGTAGCTGATGTAATACGGAGTAACTTAACTGTAACTTATGCTACGTTTATATTAGAAATATTATATTATTTTTGGAAAATAAAGTAATGATGCAATGTCCACATACTGTCCAGTACCGCGCGCAGCACAAAAATAGTATTACACGCGGACAAAGTCGCGGGCATAGCTATTAACGAATATAATGTCTAACAAGATGAACCACGTAAAGTATTATAACTAAAATATTATGCTACATTAAGAAATGTTACTGTTCACGTTTTTATTCATCCAGTATGCTACATTTCCGCGCGTTATTACCGCTATCAACGAAATAGCTTACTATAAAAAGCTAAATTTACATAACATTACGTGCATTCATAACTTCGCGGCGTTGTGAACTTATAGCTGTTTAGAGACGAAATACCGCGACGCATTAACTCGGGGCTATGCTATAAATCAAACATTTACACGGCACAGGTAAAACAGGAAATTTATGGTCGTAATCATCGGGAATGTTTCATACTAATGCATAATGCTACTCATATTGCTATTTTAGAGAGCAACGACGTTAAACAGTCATTGCCAAGGACAACAGACCGTAAATAAGCTAGTCACGATAACCAGTTATTTTTATAAATGAACCGGTTGTTGAGTAGAGAAAAAAAAACGAATTTAGTATGCATTTTTTTTAACTTGATCTTCAGACAGCCACATTTTTTTGTCGTGTTTTATTATATTCTCCATCTATCGATTTGTAAATTTTTTATTATGTTCTTTATTATTAAAGTGTTTTTTCGTAAACATTTGATTCTCTTATTTTAAACTAAGCTAAGATTTTGACAATGATGACATGTTTTTGCGAAGTTTGAAGACAGCAGTTACAGGGATTTGCATTCCCAACATTTCTCGAGTCTCGCCGGAGAACATTTTCTACTATTAGAATTCTGAAGAGATTTAGCTGCATGGAATGTGACTGTTATTAAACGTTCGCGCTCCATTGAATTAAAAACTTTTAACAAGTTACCTTTTATTGAAACCATTCTTGGAGTACACTTTTTAGTTGTAGCTTTATACCTACCTCGTTGGGCTTACTAAAATTATAATAAGTTGGGGGAAAATTCTTTCGTATATAGTATCAATGAACTTATTACAATCTCCTTGGCTATGCTATTTAAAACTGGCTGTTTTTATTATTACGTTTTTAACTTTAACGAGTTCCAAATTCAAATTGTTAAAATGTACGATTTTCATTTGTTTTTTAGTGTCAAAGATTTTAAGACTGTAGAGCCATAATTTAATGTTTACAATTGAAATATGCAGTATTTTAGTTACTTTCTTGAAGTTTATATTTGTTGCAATCTCCATAATAATTCCTTAGAGATACCAACATCCTGCTATCTAAGGAATGGATTCTATGGACTGAGAATGTTCGGCAAACGGGTGAGGTTTCGGGTAAGGAATAAACCACTAATTTAATAGAAAATTGGTTGTGTACAATCCAATCTAATTTCTAGCAAAGAAAGCCAATTAAAAATAATATTAAAAATGTTATTTTATCAAACTTAAAGTTAATAAAGTTTCGTAATCCCTAAAGCAATTCAATTTAGTTATTTAAATCAATGAGTGCTCAAAAACACTTTTAATTACGAATTCTATTTGAAAGTTTCGTAACGAAAATTAAAGAATTGGGAAACAAAAGAACATTTTAGCAATTAAAAATATGTAATTAATAACATGAATTGTACAAAAAATTGTTAGTTGCCAGTTAGTTTGTGAAGGAATGGTCATTTAAGATTTTTTTTTCGTTAAGAACAGCTTCAATCCAAATTCAAATATCATATAATTACATATAAAAGTCTTACTATTTTACTTCTTATCTTCAAAATATTATAAATGCGAATGTTTATTTGGACGGATGGATATCTGTTTGAATGTATTTCCGGATCGTGATGGAATTTGACATACATATAGAACATAGTCTGAGTTATGTTATTTTTCCGTGCGGACGGAATCGCGGGCGTCAGTTGGTATGCTATAAAAAAGAAAACCGCTACGACTTAGGGTCCTTCAAGAAGCGAGCGTATTACCATCTCAAAGACCGGCAACTGGGGTTCCTCTGGTATTTCTGATGTCTATGGGCGTCATTGAACACCTCGGTGTTCCAGCTGCTCGTTTGCCCCCTTCTATTATAAAAAAAAATCAGTTGTAACATTCTCGTTTGCGTCGGTTAGACATGTGAGTATGATTTTTGTACAAATCAATACAAACAGCGGGAACGAGCAATTCGTTTCAACGAACCCTTATATATCACGAGCGAGCAATACGAGATGTATTCTGCGGCTTTGAATAATGTATACATAATCGTCACCCTCCTGTTTACTAAGTTCTGTTCCGTCGAGCAAACACTTAGATATGGATACATTAATCTTTAAATAATACAAATATAATTCATAAGCCGTACGATATAATTTTTAAAGTAACCTTTTTACATACGTACGAAATTGTTGTGCATATCACAAAATGTAACTTTGGCTTCTTTTCAACAGAAAATTATACCTATAATATATGTTTTAAGAATCTTGCTCAATTACTTTTCGTTATATTTACCCTATTGTATAATAAAGGTTACTCTAACTTTCAAAAGTAAAAAATAAAACATGAACCCTTAGAAAGTATAAATTGTAAATTAAGTTTTTTATTTAACAATTAAAAGGATAAATGATTGTCAAAGTAATACATTAGATAAATAGCGGCGCTGAATAACTTACAAATCAATTAACTTAATGGTCTGAAAGATAACGAAAGCTTAGTGACGGCCTAAAAGTTGGCAAACAAAAATTTCTCATTGACGCTTCAACTGAAACGCAGTTGAAAAAGTTCACCGACTGACATTGATGGATGCGACGCGGACTCCAACTTACTTTGAGACGAACTCCTCGAATCGAGTTCGGGAGTCGCAATTTAATAACGAGCTACTTCGCAACCAACTCCACGAGATGCATAACTGAAGTCTCGACCGGTTTGAAAACACGTCGCATCGTGTTTTGCTACGGAACGTGCTTTGGTTTTCTAGTTCTCTTTGGTGGTTGTTCTATTTTTAAAGTCATCTATCGATCTTTACTGCTCTAAGTAGAGACGACAAAGAAAGTTAGCAAGTACAAAAGTTATAAAAGTCCAGACTCTTATTCTCAGTTAGAAAAAGACAGCTAGCGTATATTTTCAGTTTGTTTTTAAAGCCAGTACCATTAGATTAGGCAATGTCCAAATCAGCAACAGACCGAATGTAAAACAAAACAATTGTTAAAAATAATTAAAATTGACAGAAACGCACAAACCTATAAAACTGTCAAACACAAAACGTTAAAGCGGCTTTACAAGACATTCAAAACGCTAGAGATGACTATAATTCAACGGGCAATAGTCAGTTTGCGGAATAAAACGTTAATCACTCCTCGGAACCTTTCACAAATCCGACACGTGAAATGAAACTAATCACTTATCTAAATACTAAACAACGCAGGCCTGGTTCATTGTTGGCTTTGGATTGGTTTACCTTTTTCGTTAGTTTTTTATACCCCACTTAATACAAGGATGGTGAATCAAGAGACAGCATGAAAAGAAATCATTAAATCAAATTAAATAGTTCTTTCTCTTTTGTAAATCCTTAATTATATAATAGTAATGGTCATTTAATAGCAGCAAGGCTTGAAATGCCAAGTTCATTGATTACACTTTTTCTTTTTATTTGATTTCAGTTCTTTGTAACACGAAATCA